CAAGCTATAGTATATAAAAGTGCTATAAAATATAGCAGGATGACGATTAAAATGATTTTTAAACATCATTTATATAGGGGTGTGAAAAAAGTGTCCCAGAAGCCCCCTTTTCGCCCTACTCAAGTTTCTCAGATCGGTCAAATATTCTTTAATACGGTGGCAGAAAGTATCAAGACTGTTTTTAATTTTTTAACTAGAGATGATACACAGTCCTGGCTCTGTGTAGATACTGTCAGTTGTTGGCATCACAAAGTATCAGAGTTGCATGTGAGAAATATATTTCAGCAAGCTAATCAATCAGCTTATTTTGCATTCGGAGTCATGGTGGATGAATCAGGTCAAGGTGAAAAAAAAATATTAGTGGAATGCTTTATGTTTTGGAATTCAGAAAAAAATATACCTGACATTGTACTCTTAGAAACAAAGGATCTTTGGCACTGCAATTCTGATACAATTAGTCGGGCTTTTTTTGAATCTTATACAAAATATAAGCTTGATACTTCACGATGTCTTACCTTTCTTTCTGATAATACAAACTACATGAGCGGTCGTGTCAGAGGTGCTGTAACAAAATTCAATCAATTGGCCCAAAGCAATTGCGTCCGAATTCCCTGTGGATTACATGTGCTATATTTAGTTTTGAATAATTTTGAAGAGATGGCCTTTGGTAAGCTTCCAACAAGTACTGGGTTTTCAAAGACATGCCATCTCTTTAATCTCCTTTATCTAGCATGGATGTTGCATGATAGATATGACTATAGTGATAAGGATTCGCCACTAAATATGAGAAGTGAAGCAATTCAAAATCTTTATAAGGCGTGGCTTAATTATATGTTAACAAAATATCAACATCCCCTACGGTCAAGGTGGCAATATGAATTAATTACGGCAGAACAGTACCTTGAGAGACGTGAAATTCATGTTAAATTTGTTTCGTAGTTCCTTCTGAAACTTAAAGCTTTAAAAAAAACTCCAAAATCCTATATTCAAAAATGGGAACTATTTCAAGATTGGTTAAATGATTTTAAACTAAATATTGAAGTTCAATGTTTAGTTAAATTCGATCAAGAATTTTACCGTCCGTTTGCAAAATTTCTTGTTGGTTATGATCCCCAATTAAAAGTTTTACAGCCTGATAATTCATTACAATGTTTGCCTTCTGGTCATCGAGCACATCAAATGCCAGATTTCATCATTAATTCAACAAATAAACTTGTAAATATCGTGGAAAATCTTTATTCATTTTTCGGTGACGAACTTTTACAAAGCACAAAAATTTTGAACGATTCAGAAATTAAATCATTAGTCCAAAAATTGGAAAATGAAATGCAGAAAGGGCTTGAATTACACCAAAAATGGTTGAATTGTTGGCTTCATCTTCCTTTAAGCATGTGTCATCTTGACGAAAATAATGCACAACAATTTGCCCGCAGTTACTGGCACATCGTACTTAAAAAACCCTGACCCAAGTTTCTTACTTTAAAAGAGCTTAATTATGCACGATTTCTTGAAACAGATATAGAACAAGAAAATTTTAACGACTTCGGACTTAAAGCTGCCCTATCTGATGAATCTTTTTTTCAAGAATTTACTCATTTGTTAGAGAATCGAATGTTCAACTTCACCAATATCCGCAGCTCTACGATTTCGTTAAAAACAAAATCTGGTATATTATCATCCATCAACAACAGATTGAGGGCCTATTCAATAAATGGGACTTAAAAACTCACCCAAACATGACTAATGACACTCAGCAATCCAGAATGCGTCTTTCAGCAACTGGAATAAAAGAATATCAATTAAATTATCAACAACTTAAAGATATTCGAAGTGAAAATAGAATTAATTACCAACAAAATTATACTACCTCTCTTCAGTCGAATAGACAAGATGCTGACGATCTTTTTAAAGAATTATTTATGTGCCGCTAAAGTTGTAATTTTCAAAAAGAAGTTATATTTTGTTTTTTTAATGTTTATTATTTAATATAGATGTAATACTTATAGTCTATATTTCTATAGTCTTCTTTTAACGTGCCTATGTAAGTTTATTTAACTTGTTATAATATTAAGTAGATATATTAATGTACTGAGTGTACATGTACATAAGTCTTATCACGAAAAGTTTTTTTTTTATTTCCGTTAACATAGGCGATCGTTGAATCTGAAATTTTTGTTACACACAGATCTTGAAATTCTATTCGATAAGTAACAGGTGATATTCTGCGTACAGTTCTATTGGCTAAATAACAAGAGGTATTATTGTAAAAATCTATCAATTTTTACTATTATACCTGATATAGATTTGATTAATTAGTATATCGGAAATCCCAATATTCTAAGCAGAAGTTGCTTTCTAAAAAAACCCTTAACCATTACTTTAAAATTTAACCTTTAACTTCTAGTTTTATTATATAACTTCTAATTTTACTCTAACTCCCAATTTTACTCTAAACTTTAATGATAAAATTCTATAAAAATGAGTTAAACACCACTGTTGTGATTTAAACCTTTGTATTATCATTATATCGATTATTGTTACATGTATATAAAGTTTAATATGGTTTATCTTTTTACCCTTAAATATGAATAAAGTTAGTAATGTTAACAAACATTTGAAGTTAACCTTCAAAATTAACCGTTTCTAGTTTCATGCATAGTTTTTTTTTTGTTAGCCACTAAAAAGTGTAACCTATTAAATTTAAGATATTAAAACATGTTAATCATTGATATTTCTTTTTTTATCTTCTTCGCTACCATTTTTATGGTGAATATTTGGTTTTATTTCAGATTCCTCAATCTGTAATTCGGGTCTATCAGCATCTTCACCTATACTGAATCTACTTTGCCAAGTTTTAAGCCATTTATCACAATCAGCAAACACGTCTTCTGGCTCAGGTTTCTTCTTTTTACGTCTTTTTCGTATTTTACTGTCATCAAATTCATCTTCATCCGACGAGTCTTCATCTGTACTTTTTGCCTCACTTAATAATAACACACCGTATACTAAAGCAGCAATTCCAACGGCAATTAAGCAAAGTATCCAAGCAGGATATTCACTTAATTCATCAAGATAAATCATTGTGTTTACAATACTCATTGTGGTGTAGAAACCATAAAACATAGGGACCACCAATACTGTGTCGAGTAATTTCAATGCAGTATTAAGACAATAAACCTACAATTATTTAAATTCTCCATTCATACATTTGATATATATTATTATGATAAGAATGGCTTTGAAACTAACCTGGAGTACGGCCGTAAACATTAGGAATAAGAGAATAAACCAACTTAATTTATCAGTAAATTGACTCTTTTGTTCGGAGATGGATGTGGCAAGTAACTTAACGCTATGAACAACGAAGAGCACGTGATATAAGTATAATTAATATGAATAAACATTTAACGTGTATAAAAATGAAGCATACCCGCTTTTGGCCAAGAGTAAAGTCTGACTAGCAAGTAAACCACCAACACCAGCCATTGTCATACCAACCCAATTTCGCAATCGAGAAGGTTCAATTCCATTAAGATATTTATATTTTCTCTTTATCTCAGAATTATTAATCATCAGGTAACCAAATATGGCGCAGCCGAAGAGGATAAAAGTTATTACATTGAGTATAGAAAAATAAATGATGAATAAGAGGCGTAACATTAATTCCTTTAATTTTTCCAAATCCAAAGTATCTGTTATTTTACATTAATCATGTTATCATGTACATAAAAAAAAAATGGATGTTCACATATATAGCAAGCTTTGATTACATACCCTCATTTGCCTGGTTAGCACCTCCAAAACCCACAATCCATATCACACTAATTACAATTACCAAAGTACCCCAAAGATCTTGTTTTGTAATTTTAGTTCCAACTAAAACTCTGGCAAAAATAAAATTAAAAATCAAAGACAAAGATCCAAGAGGTGCCACCCATTGCGGTTTAAGAAAATCTATTAATCAATAATGGTTTTGTTATAAAATTTATTCTTGACAATGTAATAATTAGTAATTCAAATTTCAGAAAAAGGATCGAACTTACTTAATGCGACCGTACTTCCAAAAACTTGTGAGAAGATATATAAATACAAGCCAGCGTGCCATAAAGGTCTGCCACAATCGTTACGTTGTTTTTCTATTGGCTTACTGGAATTCTTGACATGATCCAATTTAAGCAGATTTATACCTGCTGCATCCATAATCGAGGCACCCATTGATACCAGGATGCCTATTACGAAGTTTAGTATCGTTGATTTTCCTGCCATTGTTATCCCTATATTATATAGATGTGATGAATATATATACTAATTTATAAAGTTACTTTTTCGCATTCCTGGAGAAATCTTTTTAAAGGATCTGTAATGTCATCGCCACTTGTGAAAATTATAATTAAGGAAAATTTGGTTGATAAATTAACGAAGTACAAATTAAACAAAGCTGATCATTCATTATCATTATAAAATTTCTCGGGGCTTTGAAAATTGAATTAATTGGTTTATATCGATATTTAAAGATTTAAAGTTGGTGGCGAAGTTGATAATGCCAAAATTGACCATAATACAAGGCTGTGCAAAATACATCTTGTATTTTACAATTTTGTATTTATAACTTTGGTATGTTTAGTAATCGTGAATAGAAATGACCACTGAAATCAACGTTTAAACAGCCCACAAAGAATATTTCTCTTTAAAACACATTTTTTTCCTAAGGTATATATTCTCTAAAATCTCATATCAGATAAATGCAGGTATTATGACGAGGTTAACAGTTCTAATTAATAACTAAAAAAATTTTTAAACTTTGATAAATTTTAACTCGCTTTACATCTATAATAAAACAAGGTTCGCGTTCGCGTCATGAAGGGTGCAGTTGCAGTGAATTAGTGATAATATATGGTGTAAAAAAATATTCTTTGAATTTGATGCTAAGCATTGTTTTCAAAATAGCATTTAGCACTGTGAGCAATTATTTTATAAACATCACACACTTCACATCGGCCTATAGTTCCGCCCATGGACATTAGTTTGGACAAATAAATAAATTAAAATTACTCAAAATTTTATTACTTTCTAGCACTATAACAAATATATGGGCTAGGTGCTGAGAAAAGGGCCCAAATTAACTAATTTTTATAGGCGACTGATATTTCCACACCCCTTTTTTAATATTTCCACAACCCAATTCTACAGACACGTAGAATTCTAATAAAAAAATTTTATTGGATTTGATCGGGTGGTCGTCAAGTTACTTTCGATTAAAGTTTAAAAAAAAAGTGATCTACATGGGTGTGGAAATATCAAAAAAAGCGTGTGGAAATATCAGTCGCCTTTTTATATTATAAATTCTATATTATAAGAAAATACAAACTTTAAAGGATACTTACTAAACCATACCAATTTATTTCACTTTCTCCATCAAAACTTATACTGCAAAATTTTAACAGTATTTGTTCCTTAACTAAAAAATGCTCCTGAGCTAATTTTGAATTAGTTAAGCTTAGAAAAATTGTCCTTTCCTATATTTTTAAATTAATATATTAATTTTTGAAGCTTGTGGACATTCTTGAACATATGGACGTTTGGACATTAGACATGATCTAAAAAAGTTTTGGACATAGTAGACGTGACAACGCTGGTTCCGCCAATTTTATAACCGCAATGTTTACAACAAACACATATGCCTGATTGTATAAAAATGATTTCAAATTAGCTGTGGTGTTATGTAAGTTATTTATTTGTATATAATTTTTTTCTATGAAAAAGATACTTGATTATCTTTATTATTAAAAAAAAAAAAAACTTGATAAATCACTAATCATTAAAATTTTATGTTTAAATTAGTTATTTCGCGTGAGATATGAAAGTTCGTGAAATCGCGGATGGGCAACTTTGTCACCTCAAATGAGGCAGAACCTGGAATTTTGCGATTTATGAGAATCCACCAGGGCGGCCACGAATTTTTCAGGTCACGTGATAAGAACAAAATATCCTAAAATTCGTTAAAGTTAGGGTTAGTACCGTATTTAGAGTTTGGAGATAAGAAATTAGTCGAGAAAAAACTTTTAATTACAGAATTAGAGCACAAAAGGCGAATTCATATGTAAATTCTTGAGATAAAGGATGTTTTTTGTCAAAACGAATGTTTGGTTTGGACTTTCCTGATCGTGTTACGTTACACTTAATTACGATTTCCCATTGGATAAATTTGCCGTCGATCATCATGTGACCCGAA